CGAAGCCGCATTCATGCTGAAACAGGAAAACAAGATTCAGATGCGGTGAAGTCTGCTGTACATGTACGTAGAAAACTGCGTAGCAAAGTACCAATCTGGATCGAACGGGTCATTGACGTTGGTCCCTCCCTTCCTTTATTGTGTGTAGTGTCACGCTGACAGAAACGATCGACCCATGCGACTCACTAAGTGCCGGTCCGCCTTGCCTCGCCCGTCAAAATTGAAAATGCCCCGCGGGGGCAGGCACGCGTTGACAGAGATAATTTGAAGGTTATGGTCAACTGTCAACCACCAACCCTATTGTGTTTTACTACCTTGAATGCTGGTAAGATACTACCTTTGTAGGTGCTAGGATGATGAGTGAAGCATCTTCCAACCCATCTGGTAAGCCATTGTTTGATATTATGTGCATTCTTAATGTAGAACATACTAGTTACAACATAGGTACTTACCAAACTCTATCGAATCAATCGCACGCAGATCCTGCCAATCATAATAATAATAATATTATCGCCAATAACAGTCATCGCAACAACAACAACAACGACAACGACAACAACAAACACGATCCAAATGAAGGGTCCAATGGTGATACTACTACTAATATTGATAACGTCAACAGCAATGATATGACACGGTCGAATAATACCACCATCATCAATAATGGCAATGGCGCGATGCAATCCAATCCTTCACGTTCGTTGTCACAGGCAGACCATAATAGGATGTCAGCAACCACAAACGCCATAACAACGACGACGACGCCCATTATTGGGAATCCGCTTGAGGCTGCTACTGCTACTGATGCTGATACTGATACCTCATCGCAAACCAATGGCAATAGGAATCAACAACATCACCATCATCATCAAAATGGTGTTATGCAATCATCATCCTCCGTAGCAAACGCAGCAACAACCGAGCCATCAAGTCATCCAAATAACAACAAAAACAACAACAACAACAACAACAACAACAACAACAACACTACGAATGCCAGTCAGGATGTTCCAGTGCCGAATCCACTGCTTGATGGGACGACTACCAAGTCATCCATGGGAACTGGACAACAACAAGAAGAAGATGGTGATGA